ACCTGTGGATAGCCTGGCAAACTGACCTCTCTCCACCAGGAGCAAAACCATGCCATCACGAGGTAGCAGCCTGCAAGCTTGATTTTTTTACTCCCAAAAATTAAATCTTCTTGCAGCAGCTCTTCCTAAATACACAAGGCTTGGAAAGCTGGTACACGATGGGAACGGCTTTGAAGAAAAAATGGAAAGATACTGGATCTCCCCGTCTTTTAAATTACCCGCCTTTGGTAGGAAATCCCTGGATCAGCCATGTGCTGCCTCCACACGGGTGACCACACCAAGGCTCAAAGGCCACATGGGCTCGGAGCATCTCCTTCAGCCGTCCCTCTCCTCCAGCATACATCTGCTAAGGCTTATCGCCTCAATTCACTGGCTGTTTATTATTATTCCTTCCCTAAAAAACTTTGTTCTGTCTGCCTCGGTCTCCCACTCACCTCTGTCTTGCAGAGAGCAGACGTTTCTCCGCGACTTGCCTTGGCAGCAATAAGCCTGTTCCCAGAGCCGGTTAACTAACGCTGCTGGGGGAGCTGCTCCCGTGATGAATCTGATCTTAACCAACCCCTACAGCACCCGCTTCTATCGCTACACACCAGCATGAACCGACAAATAAATTAATCAAGCCTGTTATAGCAATCTTCCCAAGAAGGTATTTTTTGCTCCTCAGCAGCACCATGGTCCACAACGCTTCTTAGGTCTCTCAATAAAGTGCAAACAGCTGCCAACTGGTTTTGCTTTACTGAGCATCTGCCACGTCTTGGCCACACAAACTCTAAGGGAAGAGCAAAGATGAACTCATGAGCTGCTTTATTGCAAACAATATTTATCCGTAAAGGACCAGTTTTGACCTGCACCAAACCCTCTACATTTCGATCAGATAGCCCAAACCAGAGATGGAAAAAGAAGACGGCTGTGTAATTAAGGCATTTTGCCTGGATTATAGGTGTCCCGGGTTCAACTGCTAGCTCTGCAAGATTTTCAGCATAGCACAGAGCATCTCTCTTATGCTGCTCCTATGTTTTCCCATCTGCACAACAAAATAATCACGCTTACTTTTCATTGCTTTTTTATGACACGAATTACAACATACAGCGTTCCTCAGGCAGGCAATAAAAAAAGCTCCCAGATCACTCAGCTTGAGACAAGAGTCAACATGTAAGTAAATTCAGTAACGTGAAATGCTCAGATCTTACAGAAATAAAAGTATCCAAAGAGACTGATGAGGATCTAAGAGGTCTTTTTCCATCTGCAATTGCTCAGGTGCCACAGCTACTTTGCTTTTACCACTACCTCTTTCCTGACATAGGAATTACATCAATTCAGTCACTTTCAATTTCCTATTCGGCCCATCATTTTATTGTATGCTCTGTGTAAAATTGCATGAAATAAATGCCACCATCCAGCTTGAAAATAAACAAAGAGAAGACAAACATCTGAGTCCAAATTTCCCGGAAAGCGTAAAGTGACATTTTAAATAATCCGGACAGCTCTTGAACGCTTTCATTTTTTGCAAGGCATGTGCCACCTTCAGCGAGACGCCAGGAGAGAACGCGGAGGAGTGCCAACAACTGGCAGAAGCACAGCCCGCAGAGCAGCTCCAAAAGCTCCATGTCCCCCAGATGTTTCCAGTGCTCGACAGCAAAGCTATATGGAGGGGTCCTGGAGGGACCCCCCTTCCCTTTCCCACAGCTGCCCACCACCTTGGATGTGGGAACAGCTCAGCTCTCCCTCCTGCACCGACTCCGACGGCCCTCCTCTGCCCACCTGGCAGTTTTAAAGGGATTGCAAATCTTTGATCTTCACCCTTTCGATAAGCATTTTAAATTGCCCAACTGATAATAAACAACTAAAAAGGAGAGGAAGGAAGGTGAGAGGCAGACGCACAGATGGACACCCAGATGGTACACTCACATAACCCTTATTTCTTCAGCAGCCTGAAACATCCTACGAGCCAGCAGTGAAAACCAGTTTTGAGGACCAGCGCAGCCGTGATGCGATGTGACGGCGCAGAGAGCCGGGTGGCAATCGCGGCACGACGGTGCATCAGCAAACCCACGGCGCGTCAGCGCGCCCGGCGCCATCCCGCAGCTCCGCTGGGATCTGCGCTGCTGCTCGTCAAAGCACCGGGAGCTCAAACCGGTCTGTCAGGAGAGAGACAAGAAGTCTGCTGCAAAAGAGCAGCAGCCTGAATAGACGAAGACGTGTTTAACATAAAGGAAAGGCAATGCCTAGCCAGGATAAGAGAGTTGTGTGTGGCTTTTTTCCTCTCCCTCTGTCATAGAAATGACTGGGTTAATAAAGCCTGTGAATCTCAGCAGAGTGAGCAAAATCATCCAGGAGCTGGAAAACTTCCAGGTGCCCTGCGCGAGATGTGCGTTGCACACCAAGGTATCTCGAGGCTAGCGCTTCTAAGAGAGAAAGATTTGCAGTTACTTTGACCTTCCACACTTTTAAAAATAAACTGTGTGACTGCACCCAGCATACAAATAATTTGTGGAGATGTCATTTTTTAACAGTTAAAGGTTCTCACAATCAGCAGATGACGCGGCCGTTACCTCCGAGGTAAGCAGGCAGGCTCAGCATCCCACCACGCACCCACCTTCAGGAGCTCACGAAAGGCGTATCTATTACTGCTGAGACAGACCTGGGGCTCTGTTCATATATAACCCAGGAAAAGTCTGAATAAACTCACTGGACTTGTCCTGGCGCACGTGCTCGTTTTAGGAAGACAGGTATGCTGAGCCTGCCCACCCAGCCTGCCACCCCCATTCCACACCAGGCTGGAACCAGCTAAACATGTACTTCACAACGCCAAAGGCTTGGCTACAAGGCCCTAAGTGCTGTTTCTTCTTCCAGAGAAATTTCCTACGGTTTCCTGAGCTACGAGCAGGGCAGAGGTGAAATGGGAAGGATGTTTTCTGCTGTGCTGGGAGGAAGAGGGAGTCATAGAAAAATAGAAAATTATTCCCTTTCCATAGAATATAATATGTAGCGAAACAATGGTCTCACTAAAGCAGCGAGAAAAAATGGCATCGCTCCCTGGCCCTGGCTAATGCTGGAGAGAGTCTCTGCTCCCAAAGCATCCTATTTGTTGTGCCTACAGCACCAGATCCACAATATCCAGCACCTCTCTCCCCAGAAGCCACAGGGATGCAAAGCCCACCCCACGCCTGCGGCAGGCAGAGGGAGGGGACAAGGGACAGTGCCGTAGGAGTCTCAGCTCTGTCATTATACAATACATACAATATATACAACCAGTGAAGCAGTCGGTGTCCCAGTGAGGTGACAGGCTGCCCATCCAGCAGGTCCAGAACTCAAAAGACTGATGGACACCAGAGAGGCAAAACACCAAAGGGCTTCTTCTTGTAATCTGCCCTTCGGGGTCCATCGGCTTTGAAAAGTGAAATTACAGCTGCTGCTAAACTGCAGGAGACTGAAGCACTAACCCTAACTAAAAAGGGTCCTAAAGAGAGACTGAACACAAAATTAAATATTTCATTGACTATCGGAATGGCCAGACACAAAAATGGTAAAAGTCCTTACCCCTAAAACAAAAATTTAAGCCCTAGATTGAAACCCCTGTATGAAATCAACTTTCATGGCAGTTTTTGCCATTTTATATTTTTAACTTTGATTTTTAAGGAAAGAAAGCTTAACGATCATCCCATCTGCCTGTCTTTCAAACCCTCTAGGGCAGCTATTGCATTTTGTCCAATTCTAACCACATTTCTCAAGAGATTAGGGATCTCGATACAGGAAGTCACCATGAGTTTAATGAAAATCAGTTCTCGGGTGCAGCGTCCCCACTGATGAAAAGGCTTCAACGGGAACTCAATGACCACCTCTTCAGCCTGATGTCAGCTTTGCACCGGTACCAAAAATATGATCCCCCATCAGCTGCCTCTTGGTAGGCGGTACTCTAAAGTTCAAAGTGGTGGGGCTGATTGCATTTATACCTGCTGGGGCCCCGGGGTGTGCTCCTGGGGTGGGAAAAGGGGTCCGAAAAGGACCCCAGCGAAGATGACTACGGTCTCGAGGCAGAGGCTCGTAGGATGCAAGTCTATCGGAAAGCAGGCTTCATTGGTTACGCTGCTCCCAGAACAATTGTTCCACCATACGAGTAACAAAATTAGTAATTAAGAGAATTCCCAACCTGAGAGAATTAGTGCCTCCAATCTATAATGAACCTATTAGAAAGCTCAATGGCAGATCGCGCTGCCACAGAAAAAAAAAGACTCAGCAGAGATTTTAGTGCCCTGTCCTTTCTAAAAATTATCTTCCCACCTAAGCCTGTTTAAAAAATAGTGATCAGATGGGTTGAATGCTAATTCTGAGACCATTATCACAGTAGAAAGCACTGAAAAAATATAGTAATATATTACATATTTCTTAAGGTAAGTTTTTTCCTAGGATATTGAATTTACACATAAAAGCAAGAAACCAGCAGAACTAATCTATACATTAATGAAACTCACTGGGCCCCATTAGAAAAGCAGTTACTCTGAGACAACAGGAATGATATTTATAGCAGTTATACAGTGTGTAGTGATACTAATAGTTTTGTTAACATTATCTACTTTGCCATAGACTTAAAAAGAATTATACATAATAGTGGTAGTTATGGTAGCATCTTAAAAATTGCTGGCTTTCTGCCATTCTAATTCTCTCTTCAATCACCTGTAATTTTCAACCTTTTTCTCACCTATTAGGTTGCAATTTTTCAGTGGAGAACCCGCCCACTAGTATTTTGCAAGGAGAAGGATATGGGGGATCTAATGGGAGGAATATTTTACTCAGTACGGCGGGGGGGGGGGGGGAAATTGAAACTATTTTACTTTATATAGGAGCTACCGAGTCAAAATTTGACCTGGAAATAATTCTACTGAACAATCACGTGGGTGTCTGGAAAAAATTGTTTTGGTTAGAGTTACACATTATTGAAGAAAAATCCCATTCCACCTGGACAAATGGGCACAGCGAGCACGTGAGACGTGCCAGTGAGGAAGACCCTGATGTCCCCCACGTGCACAAGGCTGACCCCTCGCCGAGGAACGCCGAGTGCCACCCGGAACAGCTGACAGGACCCTCAAGTGGCAGAGGCAAGGCGGGCAGGGAGGGGACCCTCCAGTGGGGCTCCCACACAGGACGGCATGGATGGGCACCATCAAGGAGAGAAGCAATAGGTGATGGTCACCCACGACAGCTTCTGGGGAAGCCTGCCCTGGTCTTACACTTCTCCCCCAGGAACCTGTGAGGCTGTTAGGACAGGCTTCGGTCTGCGCCTGCGCGTCTGTTCTTGTGTACCGCAAGTTGCATAAATAATCCATGAAAGACCTTAAAAGGATTAGAGCAAAACACAGATGAAGTTTGGGAGCGCGTGCTGAGGGGATTTTAGAGGGACTCGAAGCAAGGCTGAGACATGGAAGACAACCAAATAAAATCACACTTTTTACACACAACTCTATACAACCAGTACATAAAGTTCCCCCCCCTTTTTTTTTTTAAGCCTCTAAGACAGACCCTTCACCGCTATAGTAAACATTTTCTCAATAATGCAAGCATTTCATTTCCCTTTCTAATTACCCAAGGGTTCCTAGACTGTTCCCTTTGCCTCACCAACCCTACTGCATCCCCAGTTCTCTCCAAAAACTGGGGAGAGATGCTGCTGCCCGTGGGGCTGCCGAGACACCGGCAACACCCGTCTATGGCTGACTAGGCTGGAAAGCTGAGCAGCTCTGACATGTTGTAGTTTTGAGCTTGCCGCAGAGGGCTTGCTGCTATAAGCTGTGTCAACAGAATTCTTATCAACTTTGACAAATATTAATACATAATTCAGATTTTTACTACAGTTACTTTTTTTTTTTTAAGAAGTTGATAACACAATCCTCTTCCCCCAGTTCTGCTCCTTGGAGAACATAATCACAGCGCTTCAGTTTGAAATGTTGCTTGCTTTCTTTTTCTCCTGGATAGTTCTTTGAAATAAAATAGCATTTCTTAGCAGAAAAATTGGAGGACTAAAGAAAGAATCCTTCCCTTTGAAATATTAAATGCAATTGTATTTTGAACTGCAATGATAAAAAAAAGAAGAAACCTGCTGTGGCTGGGGTTACGGTTCCTCATCATACGAGAAGACAGACTTAAAGCAAGTTTATAATTGTCAGGGAGCTTTAAATAATTGAACAGTAAGACACAGCATGGGAGGATATGTTTTTATTGTGTAATAACATCTCAGGATTCATTATTCATAATAATTATGATTATTAGTCTTGCAACTTTTATACTGTTTCCTTTGAAAATTACAAGACTGATTGTACGAGGAAAGAGAATTTAGAATAACACAGTTAATTTGCTTTCAGTTTATTACTTTCCCCTGCATTTAGTTTGTTACCAGAGGGAATAGTCCTCTAACAAGCAAAAGCAGAGAAAACAAACTCCTTAATTAAAAAAAAAAAAATTAAGTCCTCTACAGCTCAGTTTAAAATAGCCTGTTCAGGTATGATTCGGCACCTCTTTGGCCTGAAGTCAAGGGCAAACTCCTTGTTGTTTTCAAAGGTACAAAGTAGGCCCATACAAATCTACAAAGAATTAAAAATTACAGTAAAACATCTGATGTTGGAGAGATGAATTACAATATCCTTATTCATACCGAACCATGCTTACACTGTGAACGCTTTGGTATCAACGGGGCTCTCCATGCCCTACGTTATTATTCAGAGCCAGACAGAAGTGGTTTTCCTGTCTTGAGGAGAAATTTGAGATAAAAGAGAGAGCCGTTTCTGCATTCGGATGAGCCCAAGACCTTTAGAAGTTTTTTCAAGGAGAAAGGGAGAGGGAGCTGCTGCCCAGAGTTGTGGGAGAATCCCTCACCAGAACAAGCCTCCAGCTCCATCATCCCCACCAAAACGAGCATCCTACCTTCCCACCCCCTCAGAAAACAGACAACTCTCATCAGCTCTGCCATCGTTAACAGCGAGCGGCCCCAGACCAAGAGTTATCAGCAAGGTTGGAACAGCAGAGACATCAGTGGAAACAGCTGAATACGTCCCTCTTATTAACAGCATGTATTATAACGGGAAAAGTT